CTTTTTGGTTTTTCAAGTATACGACTGCCTTATCTTTTAGTAGTAATTTGTTTTTCGTTTCCAGTTCCTCGTTTCTTTTGCGATCCTCTCGGTGGGTCTCTCTGTCTCATCGTGGGGTGGGGGGTTGAGACCCAGAGAGAAGCCAGCCACCCGCCAGAGCGTGTGCAGGACCCCAGGCTCCAGCCTGGAGCGCTCTGCCCCTCCCCCGCCCCCGCAGCCTCCTCTCAGGCCTTGTCCCTGTCCCCTTTGCCTGTCCTGTTCAGAGCGTGGGGCCCTCCCGCCCCACCTGCAGGTGCAGGCCTGGGCTGGAGGCTGTTGGGAGGCCCAGTGCTGACGAGAGGGAGCCCGGGAGAGGGGAGTTAACAGGAGTTCCTGGCAAAATAATAACAACGTGCCACGTTTGAGCGGCGCCCTGCTGCGCCTCTCCCATCACTTCGTGTCGCCGTGCACGTGCGATGCAGGCCAGCTGCCTGCGGGCCTCCGGGGCGAGCCCCCACCCGCGGGGCTGCTGCGTGCAGGCGGGCCTCGGCGGCGTCTGTGTAATTAAAAATGAGCACGCCTCACTTCACCGCTGCAGAGCCGCCGCCGCCTCGGGTGGCATGTGGCAGCCGTGTGGCCGCCCGGCTGACCACCCTGGCGCAGGGCATGGGCAGGACTGGGTGGCTCGGGCCGAGCGGGGAGGACAGGGCCCCTCGCCCAGCGAGGCAGGAGGTCAGGGGCTGTGACTGGGGAGAGCTCTCGGCCCTCCCTGGAACTGGAGTCCGTGTAGCAGGTGCGTGACCCAGGCCTTGGCCTGCGCCCATGGCCACATCCTTTTGGGGACCGGAGGTCACTTTGCTCTGTGCAGGCCTAGTCTCAAGGCGGCCTGTAAGTTGGATCCACCCTCAGTCTCCACCTGGGTCCAACTTCTTGCGCCCTGACCCCTAGCTGAGGCCGGACACCAAGAAGGGGTCGTTCAGGTAGCTCTCCTCTCTCCCCTCCCTCCGCCAAGTTAGCCTTCTTACTGGGACCCTGAGCTGTGTGGGCGGAATGCTCCCCCGCGGGGGGGGGCGGGCGGCCGAGGCGGTGAGCACCGCTGAGACGAGGAGGGAGAGCGTGGCCTGTGCCCACAGTCGCTGGGGCAGGGCTGTGTGTGCTGCTCTGTCCCCGGTCTCCCCGCTCTCCCCGCTCTCTGGGGGGTGAGCCGGCGTGCGTGCCGGGTGCTGGCAACCACAGCCCCCTGGAAATCCCTGTGTGACCGGTGGTGTCTAACGTCCCCGTTTCTGCCTGTGGGAGGTGCAGGCAGGAGGGGACCTCAGCGGTGTGTCTCGGGGACGGGGACGCCTGTGTGGGTCTCTAGCAGACCCTGGCGGAGCTGTGGTCCACCTGCTGACCCCTGTCTGTCCGATGGGAGGGCTGTGGGTGGCTGCGCCTCCCCCGCCTTGTGGCAGGGGGGCCGTGCAGTCCCCTAGGGTCTGTGTGTGGGAGTGGGCTGCCCTGGGTTATGGCCGCATCAGATGGCCAGTGGCTTCAGAGGCCAGAGCAGGCTCCCCTGTCCCCAGTGACACTCCCCGAAGCCTCTTGCCATCTGGACTGTGGGGAGGGGTGGGCTCCAGGCTGGGGGGACCTCAGGTCCCTCTCTCCACGGGCTCAGCCCAGTGGGGTGTTGACCTGGTGTCCTTGGCCCTGGGCAGCCTGCTCTCCGAGGGCTCCCTGGGGCTCGCCGGAGGAGAGGCAGCTGCCCTCGCCTCCCTTCACTGGTTTCCCGATGTTTACCGGCCCGTCAGCGCCCTGCCTGGGCCGCAGCTCCCGGTAGGCGGCCAGGACCTGAGCGCTGGCCCCTCTCCCCTCGGAGGCTAAGCCAGGCGGGGAGGGAAAGGCCTCGTCCTCTCTGCCCGATCCCTCAGGGACAGGGCATTTGGCTAGTCCTGGCCCTCACTCTCCATCCCCAGCCACTAGTGGACCCCTTGTGGTCCAGTGGGCAGAGCACTGAGGGGTCTGCAGGAGACATCTCTCAGCTCACCCCCTGCTCGCGGGCCTGGTCGGAGGTTTGCGCCTTTGCCTTCGCCATGGTCCTGAGTGCCTTCTGACAGGACCCAGCAAGTGCTGGATTGGGGGCTGAGCCGTCCATGAGATTTTAATTAGCTCCACGCCTCCCGCCCGCCAGGAGTGCCAGGGCCACCGGGTGGCGGCTGGGCTGGGCAGGGCCCGGCTGGGAGGCTGCCCCTCCAGGGGCCCGGGGACAGGCTGGGGTGGCCGGTGCTCCCTGTGTGGGGTGCTGTGGGAGAGGCCAGGGAAGGAGGGGCTCTGCAGCCAGGCCACAGTTTTCTCTCCCTCCTCTGTCTCCCCTGTTCCTCTGTTCTCCCCAATGGCTTTGAGATGAAGGCGGACGGCAAGGATGGAGGATGCAGTTTCCATGGCAACGGGGCTGTCCACAGCCAGGCAACTTCAGAGCCGGGCTCTCCAGGCAGAGGCAGATGCGCGGAGCAGCCGCAGCGCTGCCCCCGCCTGCCGGTGGGGGGCTGGCAGAGCAGGTGGCTGGGGCCGGCTGCCTGGCGCTGCCCACCCTGGTGCCCAGCTTCGAGGGGAGGGCGGAGAGAGCGCTAACCCCTCTGTCGTCCCCGTTGCTCCAGCAGGGAAGCTGGGCCGTCTCAGGTGCTGGCAATGGTTGGCATGGGGCACGGTTGTCCTTGGAATTTCTGGATGAGCACAGGCTCTGACTCCAGGGAGCGTCCTCAAAAGCCAGCTGTCCACAGGCCTTGAGAGGTGGGCCACCAGGTAACTGATGGCCACTACGGCCCTTGCCTGTGAACCCTCCGAGTGCCCGGAGTGTGGGGATGCAGGTGAGGGCCGCGGCCTGGCTGGGTTCGGGGGCCTTTTCCCTTGTCTTCCCTCCAGCTACCAGGGAAGGACCTGGACCTTCAGGGAGCCACCCGGTCCTTGGTGACATGGTCCCCTGCACTGAGAGGGGCCCAGGTTTGGCAGATGCCTACCCCCTAGTGCTGGCATTAGAAGGGTCCCAAAGCCTGGGAGTTCCTGCTTCCTGGCGTTTTCTTGTTCAGCCTCCTCCTGCAGACCAGGGCTGGGGGGAGAGCGAGCGCCGGCGGAGAAGCAGAGGCAGCAGGAGCTCAGGCATTGACTTGCTGGATGCCCCAGAGAGCACCCAACTGGGCAGAAAAGAGTGGAATCCATTGATTAAAAATAATGACCTTCCTCCGCTGACCCTGGAGGTGTCAGGGCTAGGGGGTCCCGCTCCGCCCTGAGTCACCCGAAGAGTCAGAGGCTGAGCCGCAGTGAGACCCTGGGCCAGACCGTCCCCTTCTGCCCCCCACTGCCTCCAGCTGGCTGCGTGGGCCCGACTGGAGAGATCTTCCAGGCTCACTCCCCTGCCCCCCCGCCCCAGGCGGCTCGTTCACCCTCCCTACTCGCTTTGGCTGGAGGGCTCCTTGCTTGAGGCTCGGCCAAGCAGGCGGACAAGTGGGGTCCAGGAGTGGCTTCTCCCCACCGCTGCTGAGTCTCTCATTACCACTAAGTGGAAGGTTCATTTCAGAGCTCGTGGCGCAAGCCGACAGACGCTATAAATAGCCACGTTGTGAAGGTTGGTGGATGAGCGGGGACAGGCCAGGGCCTCGCGGTCATCTTAGTGGGTAATTGTGCTCCATTGCAGGAAAGGGGGCAGGCTGGGACGCAAGGTGCACTTGACCTTGTTCTGGCGTCTACCTGTGCACCCCCATCCGCCCACCTGGGGTGGTGGGAAGCCTTGGATCCCAGGTCCAGGCAGGGGGGGCGAGTGGAGTGCCTGACCCAGCATTTGGGGCCCTATAATGTCCAGTGTTAGACCTACTGGTCCTGCGTGCCCCTCCAGGCTGGGGGCCGGCCTCTCTTCCTTAGCTGAAACTCTAGCTCCAGCGTGGAAAGGGCTGGGAACCAGCCACAGCAGAGAGTCTCAGAGGTTGGCACAGGTGTGGACTCACGGCGGAATGGGAGTGGGAGAGGGTCCCGCAGGTCTGGAGCCCGTGGCTAGGGCTTGTCAGCGACATGTCTGCAAGGGCAGGACTGGAGGCCGACAGCGCGGGGCGCTGGCCGCCCCTGGTACCTGCGGGTCCGTTGGTATTGCCCGGCAGGGAGGACATCAGGGCCAGGCAGCCTGGCACATCAGACCCTGGCTTGGCTCGAGGCCCCCATCCTAGGGTGGTCTGAGGGGTCAGGCCTCATGGCTGTGTGGGCCCGCGCTCTGTGGGGCAGCCTGCGGTCCCAGCCGTGCGCAGAAGGCTGGCAGCGCCGGGCTCCAGGGTTTCTTTTTTGTTTGTTTTTTTTAATCTTCACCCAAGGATGTGTTGAGAGAGAGAGAGAGGGAGAGCAAGAAATATGGATGAGAAAAAAACATCAATTAGTTGTTTCCTGTACGTTCCCCAACCAGGGATCAAACCCACAACCTAGGTAACATGCCCTGACTGGGAATTGAACCCACAACCTTTTGGTGCACAGGACACTCCAGCCAACTGAGCCACCTGGCCAGGGCCTCTGGGTTCTTTCTTTCTTTCTTTCTTTTTTTTTTTTTTTAAAGATTTTATGTATTTATTTTTAGAGAAAGGGCAAGGGAGGGAGAAAGTGAAGGAGAGAAACATCGATGTGAGAGAGAAACATCCATCGGTTGCCTCCCACACGTGCCCTGACTGGGGACCAAACCTGCAACCCAGGCCTGTGGCCTGACCTCGAATTGAGCCTGCGACCTTTCGTTGCCAAACAACATCCAACCCCCAAGCCACGCTGCTCAGGGCTCCTGGGTTGTTCTAACACTTGTCCTAGGGGGTTGTCCCAAGGACTCCTGGGTCCTCAGACCACTGCCCCCTGGGGTGGCCGGGCTCTGCCCTTAGGCGCTCTGTGTGTGCCCCTCCGCAGGGATGTGAAACGTGAGGGAGATGGGGCAGGAGGGAGTGAACAGCAGCCGGTGTTGGGAGCCACTCGGGGACGAGAGGCCCACGCAGGGCTCATCCCGCCCTTTGCCCGTCTCTGACAAGGAGCGGAAGCTGTGTGCCCACCCGCGGCTGGAGGTCTACCAGCAAGACCAGATCCACTTCATGTGCCCGCTGGCGCGGCAGGGAGACTTCTATGTGCCTGAGGTGAAGGAGACGGAGCGGAGAAGCCGGGGGCCTGTGGAGGCCAGTGATGGCCAAGCAGACGGAGCAGGTACGGAGGGCGGGGAGCGCGGAGGGCCCGCAGGGGCGGTCGGTGTGCCTCCTCTGTCGCGTTACCGGTGCCGCAACAAATGGAAGAGGCAGGAGACTGAATGCGATGGGCAGTAGAGGACTTGGCGACTAAGCCCCGAACCCGAGGGAAAGCATCTGTTTTATCAGCGGGCTTAAACAAAACAAAGAATGCAAACTAATTTGAGAACCACCTGACCTGTTAGTTATCAAGACTGCAGGGACAAACATTAATCTAGTTACTAAAGCCGGTTCTTAAAAACCCTCAGGGAAGTACTATACATAGATAACATCACTGATCACTGTCTCTTGGTGGCATTCCACCTCCCAGCCAGCCAGTTTCCCGGTCAGGCGAGGATGTGCGGACAATACGCTCCTCCGTGCAGGCAACTCCCTTGGCCAGGCGCATCCATCTTCCACGCTCCTCCCTCGCGGACTGCCCGCGGGTGTCCTGGCCAAGCGTGGCCGAGGCGGAAGGAGGCCTGTCCACATGGGGCCCACTAGCAGGGTTGCCTCTTCCCAGACACGTGGGGCCGTGCTGGTGTGGCTTCACATGTGTGGCCCCTGGCGACACAGATACGCGGATTCTGCCCAGATTCCATCAGACACCACAGGAGTACCCTGGGAAACACGGACCACAGGCAGCTGGGTGCTCACGGGAGGGGCTGAGGCTGCTCAGCAAAGGCGGCCCGTGGGTGGGCCCATTAGGAAGTGAGACGGGCCCTGGGTCTGGAAGGGAGGAAGGGGGACAAGGTGTCCTCCTGTGCCCCGGCATAGGGCCCTGCCCAGGGCCAGATGCTTGCTCCTGCCAAGGAGCACCCAGAGGCACGCGGAGGGGCCCAGTGGGCAGTGCCAGCCGCTGCCCCCGGAGCCGGCCTGCCTGCTCTCAGCGCAGCCCCTGCCGTGACCTCTGGTGACCGCGAGCCGTCCTCAGGGCTGAGGAGGCCTGCTGGTGACTCTGTCCCGGGTGGTCCTGGAGGCCCGGCCCTTGGCTGCCTGGAGCCTCTCGTGGTCTGCAGGTCCATGGCCTGAGGGCGAGGTGCAAGCCAGGAGGAAAGGGGCTATTCCTCCCGCCCGCCCCCTCCCGCCTTCAGGAGACTCCCGCTGTCCGTCCAGGCTTCAGCCAACAAGGTCACCCTGGAGAAGCATGTGTTGTCCCAGGTGGGGGGTCTGGCAGGCAGCCTCCACTCCCTAGGGGCTGCGGTCCCGCACAGTGAGCTTCATCTGCCGCTTAATTACTTCTGCGGGGCACTGCTCCCACCTGCCCGAGCGCCTGGCAGACACTCCTCAGTGCCCTGGCTGTGGCACAGGATGTGGCCAAGGTCAGCAGGCCCAAGCAGCCCCCAGGGCAGGAAGGGGGAGCGCCTTGACCTTCCTCTGAGCCCCCCTCTGCTGCCTCTCTCCCTCTTTGGCCCCCTCACCCACCGAGCCTCCCTCCCAAACACCACTGCCCGGGTGCCAAAGGGCTGCTCAGCACCCACCGCGGCCGGCCAGCGCTGAAGCCCCCGTGCCCCTGGCTCCAGGCCGGCCCCCCGCCCGCCGGCCCGCTCCCTGGCACGGAGGCCACAGGTCTGCCCGCCTCTGGCAGGCTCTGCCCGGATGCTGGGCAGACTCTGGGTGCCTGCCTGCCAGGCACATGTCACTCGCGTGGCAGTGTGTGGTGGGCGCCTGGCCACCCCAGGTGTGACCTGTCCCTGCCCCCTCCTGGGCTGGGAGGTGAGAGGGGGCGCTTCGCTGCCTGTGCCTGTCACTGCATTGATGTATTATTTAGCTCCCCAAAGGCGATGAATATTTGATCTCCGCACTGGCTGCGGGCAGCAGAGCAGGCAGGGACTGGGGCGAAGGGGGCAGCTTCATTCCCTGGCCCAGCCTTCATTCCCTGGGGATTCAGGGGGTGTCGCTGCCCTGCCTTGTACGCCTTTGTCAGAAATGTCCACATGTCCCCAGGGGCTGTCCTCATGCCGGCACGCTGGGCCCTGGCCTGAAGGGGCCCCGCGGGGCTCCATCCTCAGACCACCCCCAGCCTAGGCACCGGGGGGGGGGGGGGGGCGGCCACACCAGGCCCCAGAAGAGCCGGTGGGCGGGAGGACAGGTCAGTTGAATGGGGCCTGGGAGACACAGCCCCCTCTTGCTCCTTTCGGGCCTGCAGCCCCAGGGGCGCTTGTCCTCACTTAAGGAGCCAGCGGGGGAGCCTGAGCCCTGACCCACAGCCAGAGGGAACAGCCCCTAAATCCGGGCCTGGCTGGGACCCCACAAGAACAGGGCTCTGGGCCAGCAGCCCGGTCCCCCCAGCACTCACGGCACCTCTGCCAGCAGGGCCCGTGGGGCATCTACTCAGGGCCAAGGGGGCGGGGGAGCGGACCCCTAATTACCACCCCCCCCCCGGCTCTAGCTGACTCTCAGAGACAGTTCCTGGCCAAGTCCAAATGCCAAGTGGTCCCCAGCCACACGTGGCTCCAGCCTCATCACTGTGGAGACAGGATCTGGGGAAGCTGGCCCGCCCCTCACCGTCTGTGACGTGGGACAGCCGCCCCTCCCGCTCACACAGGGGAGGGGGCGCACCAGCCTGCTCTCAACCTGGAGGCGTGCGCTCAGCGGGCCTGGCCCTTCCTTGCCCCTCCCCAGCTGCTGTCAGTGCTGGGGAGATGAACTGAGGGGTTGCCCCGAAACAGGGCAGATGCGGGCCCACTCGCCTGGAGCACGTGTGGGTGTGGGAGGAGCCTGCGGAGGTGGGCCCGGACCCTCAGCCCGGCCCTGCCTCAGCCTCTCCAGCTGCCAGCAGTGGGCTCTCACAGGCCCCTCCTGCTTTGTGGCTCAGGAACCACCATGGTCGGAGGCAGGGAAAAGCTCCGAAGGGATGGCTGGGCAAGGGAAAGGGAGCCCTTAAGGTGCGTTGTCCCACCATCCTGCTCTCTGCGTCCCATAGGTGTTTCTCAGGGCTCTCTGTCCCCCCTGCTCCAGCCGCCTCTGCACACCAGGCACTACAGCCAGAGGCCGGTGGCTGGCTCGCTGCTCGTGGCTGCTCCCTGGGGGGCCTCCCTGGGCCGCGGGGCCAGGCGGGCAGGTCCCCTGGGCCATTCTCCCACCCTCAGCCTGATGGACATGCCGCTCCCCAGGCCTGGAAAAGGGGTGGAGGCGGGGCGCCACTTGGGTCTCTTTGTTCCACTCAGCACAGGGCTGAGTGGTCCTTAATGGACTGTTGGGAGGGGGTCGGCTTGGAGGGAGTGCGGACAGGGGTGGGGAGAGGAGCGCACGCAGGCCACCCTCGCCTCCCTCCTCGCTCCCCCTGCCCTGCTGTGGCAGCCCGGCCCAGCCCCCCAAGCCAGGGCCCCCTGGGACTCAAAGGCCTGCGTGCTGAGGCACTGGGCTGCTGGTGGAGGGCTGTCCTCTCCCAGGAGAGGCGCGGCCCCGGCTGACCTGTGCCCCTTCTTCCCGGCCCAGGAGCTGACAGGACCAGCGACAGGAGCTCTGGGAGCCTGGAGGTGGGCCCCGGCAGCCGGGGGACATCAGCCGCCACGCCGTCCCCTGGGGCGAGCGGCCGTGGCTGGGACGACGGTGACGACCGCAGCGAGCACAGCTACAGCGAGTCCGGCGCCAGCGGCTCGTCCTTTGAGGAGCTGGACCTGGAGGGCGAGGGCCCCCCAGGGGAGCCAAGGCTCAGTCCTGAGGCCGAGCACCCAGGGACTCCCAAGTGGGCCCGGGAGCTCAGCACCCCTGAGAAGGGTGAGGAGTGACCCCCGGCCCATGGCCCCCTCTGGTGCAGTCGCTGGGAACTGTTCGGACTCCTCAGCCCTCCTCCTCCTCCACCTTCCGGGCCCAGGCTGGGGTCAGGGGTCTCAGGGGACCTCACTTCGACCACCCGGCCTCTAGCCAAGCCCTCTCCTCGATGCCCTCGGCTCCCAGGGCCAGAGGAGCAGGGACTGTTTTGTGCGCCCAGCCTGGGCCGCTGCCTCTGTTAGTCTCTTTTCAGATTCACATTGGAGCTTCCAGGACCCAGAATAAAGCAGAAGATTTTCTTGTTTCGCCTGGATTTGGGCTGTGCGTTTGCTTTTTGTTCCGCCTTGGGGAGCCCTTTGCGGATGGGCTGGGAGTGGGGGCAGGAGGGTGGCCCAAGAAGGAGGCAGCCAGCCCCCTGGGGTGGGGAAGGACCGGGGTCCTGGAGGCCCAGCACTCCCTGCTCTGTGGCCCCAGCTGGCAGCTGCCCCCAGACCCCTGGGCTGCTGGAGGGCTGAGCACAGGGCGCCCTCGGGGGCTGGGGGCGGGGCGCTCACAGCCTGCCTTCCTCTGCCTCTGAGGGACACGCTGGTGCCTGTGGCTCAAGGGTGCCTGGGCTCCTGCCCGTGTCCGCCCAGCAGGAGAGGCCGCCCCTGCCCTCCTTCGCGTCTGCCAGTGCCTGCGTGTCCACGCACCGCGCCTCTGGTTCTGTGTGTGACCGCGGATGGGCCTGCGGATGGGCCTGCGGGGGGCAGTCTGGGGGCGGCTGTGCCCAGGCAGCGTCAGGGTACAGGTGTGGCTGGGTGTGGCTGTGCGGGGGCGGGGGGGGGGCTCTGCGGCTCTGTGCACGTGTGGCTGTGCTGTGTGTGTCTGCCCGTGAGGGGCTGTGTCACGGGGTGTGAGGCTGCCTGGCTAGGACCGTCGCTGCTCGTGTCTGTGTGTGCCTGTGTCTACAGCTGTGTGTGTGTGTGTTGTGTGTTCACGTGTCAAGTCTTTTTCTGTGTCCCTGTGTAAAGCCAGAGGCCTGTGCTGCTGGGTGTCCATGAGACAGCTGTGGGTGTGTCCTCATGGGGCAGAGGGCAGCTGCAACGAGCCCGTGGAGCCGGGGGCGGCTTTATTGTTCATGAGCGCGCTGTGTGGCTCTGTATCTGTGGCTTTGTGTCCACGCGGACATCCCAGTGTGTGTTCACATTGAAAGCTAAGTATTATGGCTGGGTCTGCGTGCACAGCGAGTGTGATTGTGTGCTTCCGTGTACTCCTCCATGTGGCTGTCTGCATGTGCAGCTCTGTATGGAAGGCTGAGTGTGTGACCGTGTGACCCTGTGCTCCGGTGCTGTGGGCCGGGTCACGGGCCTCTGGGGCTGCACCGCGAAAGCCGCCCCCACCTCCACCTTCTGTGCGGCTGCCCGGGCGGGTGGGCCAGGCGACGGTGTGGTGCCCCCCACCTCCACGCCCCGCCGCCGCCCACCCCGCTGCTCGGGGGCGCGGGCCATCGCTCGCCTGCCCTGGGGAGCAGTCGGGGAGCCAGCCTGCGAGGGTGGGAGCCGCCGGAGCTGGGAGACAGCCTGCCTGTCTCCCCAGCGTGTCTGACAGCTCTGAGCCCCTTCTGGCTGCCACGTCGTCGCCTCCCATCCGCCGTGGAGTTTGTTTGTTTGGGTTTGATGTGTTTGTCCCTTTCACAGCTGTGCTCCTTCCAGAGCCGTGGGGCTTCGGATTTCTGTGTCCAGGGAAAAAACCTGCCCTCTCTTGCTGACGCCACCCCCCACTGCTGCCCAACTGCCACACAAGCACTGCACACAGATGTGTGTGCGGGAAGAGCCTGGCCTCGACCTGTGCGCATCAGCGCGTGCCTGAGCCAGCCTCGCCGTGCTGGCACCTGCGGGAGAAAGGGCCGCGCCAGGGGACCTGCGTGGGGACACGAGCTCCGTGGTGCATGTTGGGCAGTGCGTGCGTGCTGGGGGCAGACTGCATGGCCTCCAAATCCTTCACACTGCAGCTTGCCCGGCACCCCTCCCTGGCCGCCTGCCCCTGCGGGAGGGAAGAGGAGGCCAGAGCATCTTCCCCGAGCTGTGCCCCCCCGCCCCGGGGCTCCAGCTCCCACCCCCGCCCACGCAGCAGCCAGTTTCAGGAGCATCTCCCCAGCCCCCTCCCGCCCAGATGCCCCTGCCAGCCCCAGCGTGTCCCTCAGGGCTGACCCTAGTCTCTGGCTTTGCAGCCCCCTCTGCGTTTGCACATGAGGGTAGGGGTCAGCGTCGGGGTCACAGCTGTGTGTGCAGCGTCGGGGGGCGGGGAAGATAGCAGCTTTAAAGGTCATCTTCAGGAAGGAAAAGGAGGCCCCATCCTCCTCTGACCTGCCCCCCATCTTTTCCTCCCAGTGACTCAGGTCGCGGGGCCTGACATACGGACTGCGCCGCCATCCGTGAGTGGGGGGTGGGTGTGTGTCAGGCATAGGCGGGTCTAAGCCCTCTGCCCTCGCCCACGTGCCCGAGGGGCACCCTCAACCCTCGTGCCACCCCTCTGCTCTCACAGATGGGAGGCCCCAGAACTGTGCCCACCCCTGGGGCTCTGTGACCCTCCCAGACCCGCGCCCAGGCCTGCCGCGCTCTCTGGGGCGCAGCGGGACTGCGGGTTGGAGGGGTGGCAGGCCCCGGCCCTGTCGCCTAGCAGGAGCGCCCGTGTGTCAGCACCACGCGGCGGACAGCTCCGGCCCCAGACCGGGCCCCGCGAGGAACCCGGAGACTTGGCGGGGAGCCGGAGACCCGGCGCGGGGCGGGGCGGAGGAGGGGCCCGGGGCGGGCCGGGCCGGGCCGGGGGCGGGGCGGGCGGCGGATTGAAAGCGGCGGGGCGGGCGGCTGGCGGCGAGCGCAGAGCCGCCGAGCCGGCGAGCGTGCGGGTGCGAGCCGGAGCCCCGCGCCCGGCTCCTCTCCGTCTCTCCGCGCCACAGCTGGGCGCGCCAGGTAGGGTAAGCCCGCGGAGCCGCGGCTGCAGCCAACCTTGTCGGCCCTGACCCCACGTCCCGGGGCCCCGCGGGCCCTCGAGTTCTGGGGCGCCCGGGCTGGACGGGCCGGGGCGTCCAGACCGCGCTCGCCGGGCGCTCCGGGAAGCGGGAAGACAGCTCCAGGCGTCCCGCCTTTCCTCTCCAGACAGCTCGCGCCTGGCCCGGCGCTCTTCCCTCCCGCTGCCCCTCTGTCCTCCGGTCCATCTTTCTGTCTGTGCCTCTTGTCTTTGTCTCAGCCTCTGGGGCTGAATCGCTCCCTGCCCGGATTGTGCGGCCCAGGCCCCCTGGGCTGCCCGCTTCCAGGGTTCTGTCCCCATCTGTCAGAGCTTTGCTCTCTGCCACCCCGGCGGGAGGCTTGTGGTCTTGGCGGGTTTGGGCCTCAGCCCCCGGCCGGGTCCCTGTCCCCATCTGTGCTGGTCTTCGTGCTTGCCTCTCTCTCCTGTTTGCCGGGCTGAGCTGCTTCTTTTGGGGCTACTCGCAGGACCCCGGTCCCCGACCCTGCAGAGCTGAGGGGGCAAAGTGAGGGGAGCCTCAGCCCCTGTGGCCAGGACATGGGGACCTTGAACTAGTTGCCCAGTTCCCCTCTCCTAGCTTCCCAAGCCGTCGCGACTGTGAGAGACTGTGTGCAGCCACTGCCTCTGCGGGGCCGGTGCCTGTGTGGGCAGCTGGACACGGGATGGGGTGCAGGGTGGATGCAGGAGGGAAGGGTCCCCAAGGGCCCAGCCAGGGCAAGCAGCCCCGACGCTGAGGATGGGGACCCTGGAGACAGTGACTTTGTCTGCTTGGTTCTGAGCTGGGGAGGAAACGAAGGCCAAGCCTCAGACGGCGTTCTGCGTGGAGCTGAGGCATTCCAAAGTCTCCCCTGAGCACGGGCTCTGAGACTGTGGCCAGACGAACTGTCCCCACCCCAGACACACACATACACTCACACCTGCATGCCCTGCTGACAAGACCACTTTGCGCCCCTCCCTAGGGCCAGCCCCCCACCTTAGTGTCAACCCCCAGGGCCCAGGCTCTCTGTCACTCCCGCAGCCAGGGGGTTCTGGGGGTGGCTTTTTAAGAACCAGAGGCTGGGTCCCTTGGGTGCTCCCCTGGCCCCCAGCCTCCCCAGGAGCTGGAGACCCTCCCTCCCTCTTCCCTGGTGGGTGGGGTCTAAGCCAGCATGGCCCGGTCAGGAAAGCCAAGGCTCGGGATGGGCACTGGATGCCAGGTTTGTGGCTCCAACCTAGCTCCTGCTGCGCAGCTGTTGACCTTGGGGTCCTGGGAGGGCTGTGCCGGGCTTCGGACACTCTTCCATTCCCAGTGCTGCCGGTGTCGCCTGGGGTCTGCTGTCCGCTCTGTCTCCCGCCCTCTGCCTAGCCGGGACGGGCACAGGGCCCATCTCCAGGCCCAGGACAGGGCAGGGCTGAGGGACAGGCCGAAGGGTGTCCCGGGCGCCTCTCAGCCTAGTCAGTGGCATTGGCTCTCGCTGACTCCTGAGTGCTTGGGGAAGGCGGGGGGCGCGGGGTGCAGGCAGAGCCAGGAGGGGCAGCCGTCCTCAGATTCCTCTCCTCCCTGTCTGTCTGTCTGTCTGTCTCTGCAGGAGCTGGGCCCCTGCCATCTCTCTTCCCGTCTGTCCCTTCCTGCCCCCTGCTTCCTCCTCTCTGCCTTTGCTGCTTCTACTCTCATCCCCTGGAGGCTCAGGTCTGCTGGACCCACCTCCCCCGGGGCCATGGGGTCACTGCCCGGGCTCCTGGCGCTGCTGCTGTGGGGTGCTGTGGCCGAGGGCCCCACCAAGAAGGCGCTGACCCTGGAGGGGGATCTGGTGCTGGGCGGGCTGTTCCCGGTCCACCAGAAGGGCGGCCCCGCAGAGGAGTGCGGGCCGGTCAACGAGCACCGGGGCATCCAGCGCCTGGAGGCCATGCTGTTTGCTCTGGACCGCATCAACCGGGACCCGCACCTGCTGCCGGGCGTGCGCCTGGGCGCGCACATACTGGACAGCTGCTCCAAGGACACGTACGCCCTGGAGCAGGCGCTGGACTTCGTGCGCGCCTCGCTCAGCCGAGGCACCGACAGCTCCCGCCACGTCTGCCCCGACGGCTCCTATGCCACCCACGACGACGCCCCTACCGCCGTCACTGGCGTCATTGGCGGCTCCTACAGCGACGTCTCCATCCAGGTATGTGGGGGCTGCTCACGTTGGGGCCAGAGAGACAGATTGGAGGCAGGGGCCCGGGGGCCTGCTGAGCAGGTGCTGGACGATGAACGAGAAGCTGCCTTTGAGCAGCTTTTTACAGGAGACTAAGAAAGT